AAGCAGTTATTTGAGATTCCCATAGATAATAGTTGTCTTTATACCTAACGCCCTTCATTAGAATAATATATTTCTCATCTTTGACCAGACATCCTGACTTTGAGAAGTACACTAATAGACCTTGGTCACACAATTGATAAATGATAATGAGATTAGCAGTCAACCCTTTCACAAAAAGAACATATTATAAACTAGGAGTACCAGTACACATCAACTTTCTAACTCCTTTGATTTCACCTTTAAACCCATAACCAAATCTCAAAGAACCTATGGGATGAGATTTAACAATCACCAACAACTTCTGAACTCCTGTCATATGTCTAGAGCACCCACTGTCAAAGTACTAGTCTTCAATTCTTGAATCTTTTAAGGAAGTATGAGCAATAAGGTTGACATCCCTATTTTTAATACTTCTCTTTTTTCTCATATAATTATCCTTAGAATAATCTGAAGATTTTTTATCTCTATACAATTTGAAACAACAAGGCTTTATATGACCATACTCACCACAATAATAACATCTCCAAGTTGAAGAAGTAGAATTTGTTGGAGTTTCATTAAATCTTCCAGGATGTTGTAATATGTTGTTGGACATGTTGATCATTCTTTTCTTTTAAGAAGGAAAGAACTTTTCTACAATTCTTTGACTTTGTTGATTATCAAATGAATGATTAACCTCTATATCTTCAGCTTCTTTCATCTTATCAGCTCCATTTTTCATTATTTTCAAAGAATATGTCATGTTATTAAGGTTGGAATTTAAGAGAGTTACCTCACTTTGAAGATGATAAACAGTACATAGAAGCTTCTTCTTTTCATTCTTCATTTCATTTATGATTTCCTATGTTCTTCTACTGTTTTAAGACTTTATTCACACTTAACATAGGTATCCTTGTAGGATACATCCAGATCTTCATATAGGTCATTCTCATCACAAGCTTCCACTTCATATATCCATATGCCAGAGATAGGCATCACAAGTTTTGCAGTATCAGTGTTAGATTCATCTTCTAACTCATGATCATCAGACCAAGATACATTAAAGCCCTTTTCTACTTCTTGAGAAAGTTGGTACATTATAGCCTAATATGACCACAACCTTCACACTCATAGCATTGAACTCCTTTTCTTTGATTGGACTTCTCCTTAATTCTGGTAATTTTGTGAAAATCCTCATGATTCCTGATGTAAAATGAGATATTCCTGACATTTGGTCTTCCTCTTTTGTCCATCCTTTTCAAAATTCTTTTGATTTGCTTTCCAAGTAACACAATGGTATTAGATAATCCTTCACCAGTGTCCAGATTGGCTTGACCCTATCTATCTTCAGCATTAGAAACAAAGGTTATGTTCTTGCTCTTTTTCTCAGACTTGTCACTAATAGCCAATTCAAAAGTTTGAAGTGACCCAACAAGTTCAATAACTCTCATGTTGATGATGTCTTTAGCTTATTCAATATTTGCTACCTTCATGTCAAATTTCTTAGGTAAAGACCTAAGAATTTTTCTAACAAGCTTTAATTCTGACATCTCTTCTCCCAAGGCACTGGATGTATTTTCTATTTCAAGAACCTTCATATAGTATTCCTAGATGGTCTCATTATCATTCATCTTTAGATTCTCAAATTTAGTAGTGAGAAGCTAAAGTTTTGACATTTTTACTTTAAATGTACCTTCATGAGTTGTTCTGAGAATTTTCCAAGCATCCTTGGCTATAATACACATATTACTAAACCTAAACACATTCTTTCCCACTCCATTGACTAAATCATTCAAGGCTTTGGAATTTCCAATAGCCAATTTATCATCCTCATCAGACCAATCTTCATCTGGCTTCAAAGACACATTCTCATGTTTGTCCTTATTAACATGATGATCCCATCCTTTCAACACAGACTTCCAAGCTTTGTTGTCCATGAACTTCAGAAAAGCCCCCATTCTAACCTTCCACCAGTCATAATTTGAACCATCAAACAAAGGTGGTATGTTGTGTATCCTTTTTCCTTGTCCATAGTACCAGAAATATTCTCCCTGGAGCTCACTCAAAAAACAAATCAGGGTGTCTGCTCTAATACCAATTGAAATTTTGGCATTTAAAATACACATGTAAAGACTAATGTCCCAACATCAGCATAATGTCAAGACAGATGTTATGACATCATCTTCTAACAGAAATCACTTGCTAAAAATGGAGATTATGCAGAAAATAAATTATAGAAAATTAAACAACACAATCAATTATTAATCTTGTTTGGTGCAACGTCACCTACTCTGGGGGCTACCAAGCCGGAAAGGAAATTCACTATGATAGTATTAGTCCAAAGCCTAAACAACCCTAGTTTACAACTTCTTGCCTAATCACTACCTTGTGCAACTTTTACCTAGACACTCTCTAGATATGAGACTCCCCCTCCTCTCACTTCCAATCACCTTAGTGATACCTATAGTCACACACATGTGACTAAAATTTAAGATTACACTTCAAATAAAGAGTACTTAGTTTTGCTTAAGAGCTTAACTAAGAACAATACTCAACTTTTTGCTTAAAAGCTCATGACTGAGAACAATCAATCAACCTCAATGTATCAAAAGATACACGAGTGACATACAAAGAACAAAAAAAAAGAACTTAAAAGACTCCTAAAACCCAGAACCCTTATGTTGCACCCACAATTTCTTCAATGTGAATGCTTGCTAGTTTAGGTTTAGCAAGTCCTTGTTTATGAACTCTTGCAGAATGGGATTAGACTCTTCAATCAAATCCAATCTTTTGTTTTAAATCAACGGCAAGATCTTCACATAAAAATAGAAACAAATCTTCAAAATTTTCTAAAAAGTCTCAAAGATCCTTTTTATGAAATCAAATTAAATCAGCACTTGTTCCTAATGAAATCACCTTAACCTGCACAAAATAATGAGATATATCTAAAATGATCTCTCAAAAATAAATCAAATATGTCAAGAGATATATCAACAGTGTTTGTTGTATAACAGGATAAGATGTCAAGACATTTGGCTCAACATTTGTCTGATATGTATGACAGCAGAACCTGTTATGACAGTTGATCAAGATGTTGTGACATCTTGCTCAATATCAGTCCAGAACCATCTTTTAGCGAAATTTATGTCAAACCTAAAACTATGGATTTAACAATATGGTCTCCACGTCTAGGCTAGAAACTCTTATCCTTTTGTTTAACTTAGATTTGATATACTTTGTTTTATTTCTGATTAGAAGAAATTCATGCATTTTTAAAGCTTGTCCTCAAGTCTCAAACCTCTCACTTAAATCATCCTCCCACTATATATATATATATATATATATATATATATATATATATATATATATATATATATATATATATATATATATATATATATATATATATATATATATATATATATATATATATATATATATATATATATATATATATATATATATATATATATATATATATATATATATATATATATGCTAGTTCTTGGATGTGTACCGAAAGTACATCAAAAATTAAAGTAAAAAAGTAGACATATTTAAATATCTTACATTTAAAAAACCAATTAAAATTTGTTAATACAATTAAAATGCAACGTCATCATGAGAATATTTAAATATAATTATCAGTTATCTAGTATTATATATATTAAATCAGAGATGAGAATTATTGTCCACGTCATCTAAATTATGCGATATCAAATATAACTATGCCATATCATATATATTTTTATGTCGCACCTCTAAAAACCCATCTTCACTTTTCAAAAGTGTTTATTCTCTACTAGAGGTCTTGTGTTCAACACCCTCTAATTACATAAATCTATATTCTATTTGTTTACTCAATATAGTATATTATTTAAGTCAATATAATACAAGTTTTGTATTTTATTCCTCGAGTCATTAAGGTATACCATTAAATTTGGAGTAAAAAAAAAAGAAAAGGAAATATAAAACAAAATTATTAAAAATTTTGACTATGATGATTTCATGTATATAGTCTGAGTCGTTCAAATGTAGAACTTTACTCATTCATAAAATAATGAAGATTTAAAAAATGTGAAAATATTGGTAAAAAAATAAAGGAAATATGAAACCAAATTATTAAAATTTTTGAGTGTGTTGATTTGTTGCATAGCGTCTAAGTCACTCGAATGTAGAATTTCTCCCATCTATAAAATGATAAAATTTAACATTTTTAAAAATATTGTACAAAAATAAAAGGAAATATAAAAAAAAAATATTGAATTTTTTTTCACTTATTTCACATTTTAAAATTTTAATAGCAACGTCTTATTTATCATTTCTATATTTCAAATATTTTTTTCGTTCCAATTTTTTCTCTCTCTTTTATTCTCTTTATCTTACCGTCTCAATTACAATTCTTATTATACTAAATAAAATTAAAGTATATATAATCCAATATTACATAAAAAATTAATCAATGTTCCGCACATCGTGCATGTCTGATTCTTGTATATATTAAATCAGAGTTGCGAATTCTCGTCCATGTCATCTAAATTATCCCACATAAAATATATTCACTACGCCAAAAATAAATTTTAGCAGCACATAAAAGAAAGCACTTTTGGAAAAAAACATTTTTGGGAAGCACTTCTAAAGGTCACCCTTAGAAAGCACTTTTTGGGAAGCGCTGCTAAAGCTGGCCTTTCAGAGGGTACCTTAAGAAAGCGCTTTTCAAAAGCGCTGCTAAAGGTCATCCTTAGAAAGCGCTTTTCCAAAGTGCTACTAAAGCTGGCCTTTAGAAAGCGCTTTTAAAAGCACTGCTATGGGATATGCTACGAAAGCGCTTTTTGATGTAAAAGCGCTGTTATAGATGACCTTTAGAAAGCTCTTTTAAAAGGATTCATGTTTTGGTAACAATAAACAGATAATTATGTGATAGGTTTTTTTTTGTACCTGACCCACTTCTGTTTTTGATCCATCCTAGGTTATGGTTGTTGCGGCTAAACCTTGAAGCTTATTTTTGAGAGAGAGGATCCATGGAAGAATCAACAATAACGCAACGCCAAACTAGCCATGTTAAGAAGAGGGTTTTAAGGAACAAAGCTTTGGGTATTTCTTTCGACGAGAAAGATCTCAAAGACTACGTTACTGGCTTCCACAAACGCAAGAAGAAGAGAAGAAAAGAAGCCAATAAGCAACAAGAAGAAGCTCGAAGGAGAAAACGCAACGAGGCTCGCTTAAAGGTTCTTTTTTTGTTGATTATTTCATATGCTATTAAATTATTCTTTTTTTATAGCTTATTTGTTCACTGTGATTTTGTAGAGGAAGTTGGAAAGAGATCTTAGTTATGGAATTGTTCCTCCAAATGCTGACACCGAAACTGGTGAAATTGATCAAGTTACTCAACAAGTTCTATCTCAATCTGTTGCTGGTAAACTTTTTTTTTGTTGGTATAGGTCTTTTTTGGATAAACAACTTAATTAAGGACTTTTCAAATTATTATCTTAATATCGTTGTCTCTGGTGTCAACTTTTCTTATACTCATGGCAAAAATGTTTATCATATACGTGTTTAATCGATTATGTATAAGCTGTACTCATATAATTTATCATCTATAAGCTGTTTTTATCTTTGAGAGCTTATAGGAATTAGCTGAAAATAACTTATGATTATGAAGATATTAAAAGTTGTTTTTATAAATGGCTCCCACACAGACACGGTGTTATTTGTGCTTATGTCAGTTAAATGTAGACAAATTCATATAACTCCATTCAAATAGATCTTTAAACTTCGTTTGGGAGTTTGAAAGGGAGGGGAGAGCTTCATAAGCATATGAATAGAAAGAATTGTAACAACATAGATTGGATTTGGAGAATTTATCTAAGTCCTCCAAAACTTTCTTTCAATACAATTTTTTAGTCCTCTCATATTATGATAAAGAAAAACAAGTCTCCCAAATCCCTCAATTTTTCCCCATTTCATCCTTCCTTTTTTTCAATGCCCTCTCATTCCTTTCCTTCCAAACTCCCAAACAAAGCCTTATCTAGTGTCAATTTGCATGTGTGGGTTCATGCTTTGTTTGAAGTAAAAGGCACTGTATGAGAATATTATCAGTTCCTTCTTAAGAATTGCATGCATTTATCGAGCATCCTTCACGGTCTCATGCCATGTGATTATATTTGATGTTTTACTAGGACTTGTGTAGCTTAATGGTTTAACTCAAACCTGTTTAAGGCTCCTCCTTTAAATGTGAGTGTGAGTATTTGTAGAGGATGTGTGATTTCTTTACTGATGAGTTTAAGCGTATGAATCATTTAATGATTGTGTTTATCTTTTCTTGTTTGAAGCAACAAAGACATATGAAAACGATGATTTAAAAGTCACAGTTGTAACAAAAGAGATCAACCCCGAAGAAGAAAGTTTCCCTACCGAAAGGAAAGAGACTGCGCCAGCAGCGTCCCCCCATCCTGTTGTAGCTGATAAAAAGAAATCAGTACCTGTAAATAACAAGAAGCCATTTAAAAAAGTTGCAAAACACAAGTTGAGGCCAAAGCAAATATGTAAGAGAGATAAAAGGAAAGGAAAGAAGTCGGGAAGGAAGTGAGCACAATTGGTAGGGAACCAGATTCAGTAAGAGAGCACTTAGTCGAAAGATTCATGGCAACTGGCAGTACAGAAAGCTTATATCTTTGGGCGTATAATACTATTCCTACAGGGTTAGACTTTCATTCTAAGTTTATTTTAATATTTGTAATTTTTGCGTAGAAAATTTTCTTCTAAACCGTTGTTTTAATTTATAGACGTCACTGGTTATTCGTTGCTATCGATCCTATAAAAGAAGTGGTCTATTATCTGAATTCGGTTGACGGTGATTGGACAAATTATCCGGATATGAAGTTAATGATTGATACGTAAGTGAGATTATTCTAAATATTTGTGTGTATTTATATATTTAATTATTTCTGTGACATTGTTCTAAATATATATTTTTATTTTGTTAGAGCGATACAAGTATTCCGGTGTCAAAGAGAAGCTCGAGTACGACGGTCTAAATCAAACAACATTAATTGGATCAAAGTGCAGGTATATTAATTTTCACTATTTTGCTTATAATATTTATGCTATTTGATAAAACAATACAACTATATATTCTTATTTGTTTTTCTATGTAGTGTCCTCAACAGCAAAACGGTATAGATTGCGGATACTTCGTTATACGGTTTATCAAAGAAATCCTTCAACTGAATCAAATAGAGATTCCAGTCACGGTATGGATTTATAACTTAGGATTTGTTTTATTATTTCTCGGATATTTCATATAATTTTTTACTTTTAACTAAATCATGCATATTATGTTTTGTTATGTAGTACTTCGATGAATACAAATGTGTATATTACACGAAACTTCAGTTGGAAGAAATCAAAGAGGAATTGTGTCAATATTTTATTGAGCAGAGAATCATATAAGGTATGAATACATTATTATGTGAAAAGTATTATGAATATGTTACATGTGTACATGGAATACCATATTGACCGTGTTATTATGTTCAAACCTCGCAGGACCAGGACCTTAATACATAATTGACCGTGTTTCTTTCATACATTAGGACTGGTTTAGTTGTTGTTAGGGTTGATTTTGTAAGACTGGTTTTGAGTTACAATGCTAATAACAATGGTTTTTATATATTTTGAGCTACAAAAATGGTGTGTATATATTTTTGATTACAATGGTATACAATGCATTACCGCTGTTTATGAATTACAGGTTATGGCAACTGGTTTATATAAATAATATGCTACAAACAATGCAAGTATATGAATTATATAAATTATACCTCTAAAAAAAACACCCTATGAAAGCGCTTTTTCAAGAAAAACGCTGCCTTAGGTAACCTATGAAAGTGCTTTTTCACAAAAAGCGCTGTCTAAGATAAATATATGACAGCGCTTTTCCAGGAAAAAGCGCTGCTAAAAGACCACCTATGAAAGCGCTTTTCCAGAAAAAAGCGTTGCTAAAAGCCTACCTAAGACAGCGCTTTTCCAGAAAAAAGCGCTGCTAAAAGAAAACTTATGAGAGCGCTTTTCCAGAAAAAAACACTGCCTTAGGTAGACCTATGAAAGCGCTTCTTCATAAAAAAACGCTTCCAAAAACCTACTTAAGAGAGCGCTTTTCATTAAACAAAAAGCGCTGCTAAAACCTATAGCAACGCCACCTACGAAAGCGCTTTTAAAGGCCAAAAAAAGCGCTTTCGTAAGTCTTTTTTGGCGTAGTGATTCCTAAGTGACGCCTCTAAAAATTCATCTTCACTTTTCAAAAATGTTTATTCTCTATTAGAAGTTATGAGTTCAATATCCATTGACTATAAAATCTAATTAATTTAACAACTAATTACTAATAACTTCAATATAAAATACTTTCATAAACTTTAAAAAATAATTATATATTTTTCTTTCAATCTTTTAATCTATTTCATCATTATTAATATATTTTTGAAAAAAATTATTGTATAAATTAAATCAGAGCTGCAAATTCTTGTCCATGTCATATAAATTATGTCACATCGAATACAATTATGCCACATCAAATATATTCTCAAAAAAATTTAATCTATAATTAATTTTATTTTCTATTAAAGGTCATGGATTCAACGCTAATTAGTTACAAAAATATTGGAAAAAAATAAAAGAAAATATAAAACAAAGTTATTGAATTTTTTTCCACATATTTCACATTTTAGAATTTTAATACGTGCGTCTTATTTATCATTTATATGTTTCAAACCTTTTTTTTATTTTTAAATATGTTCTCTCTCTCTTATTCTCTTCATCTTACCTTCTCAATTACAATGTTTATTATACCAAACAAAACTAATATATACATAATCTAATACTACTTAAAAAATCTATCAATATAATAAATTATTAATATGTTTTTTTTCTATAAAGATATGCATTGATTTTTTAAAGAATAATTATTAATTAATTTAGATTTTTCATTGACTACATTTGAATACATTTATTATATATATATATATATATATATATATATATATATATATATATATATATATATATATATATATATATATATATATATATATATATATATATATATATATATATATATATATATATATATATTCTGGACTGGCCCAACAGCTAGAATGGGTCCAGTCTAAAACATATTTTTTGGTACGGCTCGCACGACCATGATCTGGATTGCCCGCTACCTATCGGACAATGTTAGTTGTTTGTCTTCCCGAACCAGCACTAGTCCAGGGTGATCGACGAGCATCCTCTCAGCCTGCCCGACATCAATATCGTGCAAGCCACCAGGAACTGACCAGAGAGATGCCCGTAGCTAACCCTCTCCTCAGGACCAACGGCTAGTTATGAGCACATCTGCCCAGTTTGACCAAGTCCTGACAGTTACCTGATTTTACAGACCCGCATATCTAGGCGTGAAATCAGGTATAAATAGCTACGTGCCAGGGGCATTATATATACCCTTACACCTGTGAGGGTCAGGTATCAAAATTCACTATTCACCACTTAATACTTTGCTTGTACCTCCTTGTTTCCACTCTTACTTGATCGTCGGAGTGCCTTGCAGGTACAACTCCCTTTTCTCCTTGACTTCACAGCCCGATTACAGATCATCATCCGGCCACTTCTCAGGTTCTGATCAACAGGTAAGATCAGTGGCGTCGTCTGTGGGAAACTGCTCTTCCCATCTTTCTTTCCTCGAAACTTAAGATTAAAACAACTTTTTCAAGATTCCTCTCACTAATCATGGCCGACCATGATGATCTTCACATATCCAGAAAGACCATTCTTTCCCCCGCTCACAAAACAAAAGGAAGTCAGGAACATCCTCACCTCGAGGACAACATGGGCTTCCGGGACGAACCAACCGCATCTATGGATTCCACTGACGCCCGACGCGGCAACGACCCATTCTTGGACAAGGGACACTCCAAGAATCTCACTGAAGAACTACAAGAAGTCATGCAACCAGTTCCCACCCCTCTCAATACCGACCTGGCATGGCAGCACTGCTCGCTGCTATCAATCATACCAACGCTCTCATCCTACAACAAAATCAAAAGATAGGGGCCTGAGAGAACAGGCGATCAAGATCTCATCCTCGGAGAACCTGACGACGAAACTCCCCTAGTGCATCGCCACCCAGGCGTGGCCCACCTCCCAGAAAGGAGAGGCACGACGTTTCTTTCTTCAATAAATGCAACCGCACACCTCCTGCCAGAGATCAAGACTCCCTTCATTCAAGAAGAGGAAAGACAACATGCAAATCGACCGCGCTCGACTGCCTTCTGCCGAGCCAAAGAAGAAACGGAGGAGCCCCTCCCCCCGATGAGACCGTGACGATCGACGGGGAAGAAATTATCACTCTCCTTCACCATCCCCTGCAAATAGCGAGGATGACGAGCCCTATGGCCCGCTATCGAGGGAGATTACCGAGGCTCCACTCCCTGTCGGTCTAGAGAAGCCGCCTACCTTGGGAACCTACGATGGAACAACAAACCTTGATGAGCACATCGAGAACATCGACGCTCTCCTCGACTACTGAGGGGTCAGGAGAGCCATCAAATGCAGACTCTTCCCAACCACTCTCAGGAAGGGGGCGATGGCGTGGTACAAGAGCCTCCCTAATGAATCCATCATCTCATGTAAACAGCTCGGGAGGATATTTTTGAGGCATTTAACCGCCTCCCATCGACACCTGAAATCGGAGGCTTCGCTCGAAGAAATCATACAGGGCAGGGACGAGTCTCTACGGGCATATATTAAACACTTCAACAAGGAAACATTCCAAGTACCAACAACAGACAACATGGAGAAGTACCTCCTCGAGCGCGGGCTCTGCCCCCAGAGTGACTTTGCCAAAGCTGTAGGCATAGAGACGCTGACCACGCTCGACTCCCTCCACCTCAAGGCCCGGACGTACATACAGTACAAGGAGAAGGAAGCGACCAACAACTCCAGGGAATCTAGGCATAGAGAGGATGCCAAGTCCCCGAAGAACGACGAGCCATCGACATCCCGTTGGGGAGAGAAGAAACGGGAGGACAAGTCCTGTGATTCAAAAGACTACAAGGGGCCATCGGGTCGTTTCCACGACTACAACCCTCTGATAAACTCAAGGGAGCATATTCTTTATGAATGCGCCAATTCTAAATTCAAGCAAGCCGGGGTGCGCTTCCCCCGACAAACCTCGTCCAAGCCGGGAACTGACAAGAGCAAATATTGCAGGTTCCACAAGAGTCACGGGCACAACACGGAGGATTGCATTCATATCAAGGATGATATCGAAATACTGATGAGAGACGGGCACCTCAAGCAATATAAAAAGAAGGAGGGTGCCAGTGACGAAGCACCAGAAACCAAAAATGTCGAGGAAGGAAAGGAATCCCTCGACCTCGACCCTATTTCGGTCGCGATGAGCATCTCACGACAGAAAGACTTCTATTATCCGGACATGGAGAACGTCCCCCTATACTTCTCCTCCCACAATCCTTGGGAATCATTCCCCGCAGCCATGGTACTCTCCGGCGGAGGGTTCAACAAGCACACAGTTGGATCGGTGAATAGGAGATTCGACCAACTCATTGAAGCCTACTCAGATATGGATGCCACGCTCGATAAATTCCTAGGAGGCTCTCATCCCCTCGTCTTCTACAGAGAAGAATTATCGGGCGAGGCCCCAAATTCGAGAATCCTACTACTCGTGAGAGCTCGGATGGATAATTTTGACATGCGTCACATTCTGGTCGACCAAGGCAGTTCGGTGGACATCATGTACGCCCAACTGTTCACCACCTTGCAGCTAAACGAGAGCCACCTAAACCCCTACGTGGGATCTAATCTCCAGGGCTTCAATGGAGCCAACACAAAACCCTAAGGATATGTAGAACTGATCGTCACATTCGGGAGAGGGGCGACGGCCCGAGCTATCAAGACCCAATTCTTGGTGGTAGATTTCCCGTCTCTCTATCAGTGCATCTTCAGGAGACTCACTCTCACTGAACTCATCGCAGTCCCTTCCACCGTTCATCTCAAGATGAAGTACTACACCGTCAAAGGCTTGGTCTCCATCCTCCACGGAGACATCCAAGCAGCCAGAAGGTGCTTCGAAGCTTCAGCCAAAGGCCTCAGTTCCATCAGCGCCCAACCTAGAATGACCACTAGAGCCTCACTTCCCTTCGGCCCCGAGGATGTCAAGCCACTTCCGAGGGTTGACACCATTGACCTCGACAATCGCTTCTTCATGGAAGACCGTGTCTAGAAAAGGAAGAAAGGAAAAGAGCCTATGGTCGAAGACGAAGGTTTGACCTCCTCTGCCGATCGAAAGGAACACTCGAGTCACGCACGACCTATCTCAGATGGCGACTTCAAGCTAGTTCCCCTCGGAGAAGACCCCAAAAGAGGAGCATAGACCGGAGCAGACCTCCTCGACCTGGCAAAAAGGAAACTCAAAGCTTGCCTAAGGGAGAATGCTAATCTGTTTGCCTGGAGTGCGGCTGAGATGCCCGGTTTAGATTCAGAGGTCGCATGCCATCACTTTACCATTGATCCTGCCATCAAGGGGTCACATAGCGCAGAAGAAAGTAGTCGTCTGAGAAAGCAAAGGTTGCAGAACTAGCTGTAAAAGACCTCTTAGAGGCACATTTTATTTCTGAAGCCAAATACAGAACCTAACTCTCAAATGTAGTTCTTGTAAAAAAATATAATGGAAAATGGCGCATGTGTATTGACTATACTGACCTCAATCGGGCTTTCCCGAAAGATGCTTATCCCCTCCCCAATATTGACAAACTGGTCGATAACTCGGCTGGTTTTAAATTGCTATCATTCATGGACGCGTACTCTGGTTATAAACAGATCCCCATGGCGAAAGCAGACAAAAAATATACCGCTTTCATGACCGAGTCAGGCAACTATTACTACAACGTAATGCCCTTCAGCCTAAAAAACACGGGCGCTACATACCAACACATGATGAACAGAAATAGAGGACAAAGAGGACAAACAAGTATACTTCAAAGGAGAAAATGGTGATAACATAAATTAATATAATGTGGAGAAGGATTTCGTGTTTGACGTATACCTTTGCGAAGGGTAATCAGAAGATTCGACTCAGGTTGCAGGATCAAATCCAATGATGGTAAAGGCGTCAGAGGAGAATGTGCAATGACCTCGGAGACAAGTACTGCCTCAGGGATAGGTACGACATATATGGATTGAGGATACTAATATGTTTGAAGTGGGCGAGAAGTGAGGGGGTCAACTATAGGGGTTTCTAGTGGGACATGTTCCCTAGAATGATGGGGGATAATGGGAAATGGAACTTTCAGAAGAGGAGTAAAAGTACTTTCTTGAAGGGGTTCTAGAGTGACTTGGATGAACTCAAAAAATGGCACTGACTCAAAGAATGTAACATCGATCGAGATCAGGTACCGTTGCAGAGTGTGTGAGTAGCAACGATAACTCTTTTGAGATCGATGATAACCAAGAAAGATATAATTTAGTGATCGAGCTGATAGTTTATCAAGACCAGAGGAGAGATTATGCACAAAACACATAGACCCGAAGACTCAAGGAGGAATTGGGTGAAGAGGAGAGTTTTGAAACAGGATTGAATGGGGGATTTTATTATTAAGGACGGATAGGGGCATGCGATTTATGAGGTAACATGTCGTGAGCATAAAACCCCCCCAAAACCGAAGAGGGATATTACCATGGAGAAGTAGGGTCCGAGTGGTTTCTACGAGATTCTGATTTTTGTGTTCGGCTACCCCGTTTTGTTGAGGTGTATGAGGGCAAGATGTTTGGTGCAAAATACCATTAGATGACATAAAAGTTTGAAATTATTGGGATGAATATTCACGTGCAATGTCACTTCTCAAGGTACGAATAGACACACCAAACCGAGGTTTTATTTCTTAATAAGAATTTTCAAAAATAGAAAATAATTATGATCTATTTTTCATTAAAAATAACCACGTGCAACGTGAAAAACCATCAATAAAGGTGACATAATACTTAGACTCAAGAGTAGAGACAATATTTGAGGGACCCCAAACATCAGAGTGAACTAAAGCAAAAGGAAATGAAACTTGTTTATTGACTCGATTATGAAATTGACTATGATTGTGTTTCCCTAACTGACACGACTCAAAATGTAAATTAGATACCTTTGACAAATTTGACACCAACTTCTGTAGTTTAGGAAGACTAGGTGACTTAACTGAGCATGGATTGTGTGTGGGGAATCTTTGGCTGAGCATGTCTGAGATGACACTGAGAGGTAATAAAGGCCTTGAGACTCACATCTGATGCAAATCGTCCATCCCAAACTCTGATCCTGTAGGGTGACATTACTATTAGTGAAGGTGACAATACAATCAAGAGAACAAGTTAAATGACTGACTTAAAGTAAATTAAAGGGACAATTATGTACATAAAGAACAAAAGTAACAAAGAGAGAAGGTAGAATTTGAACAGTACTAATTCCTTCAGATCGGGTTTGAGAATCATTGGCAGAAGTTATAGTAGGTAACAAACCAGAGATAGAGAGGGAAGAAAAAAGATTGATATTATTAGTAACATGATCAGACGCACCCAAATCAAGGAACCAAGGTCCAAGAGAAGATGATTGAGAGAGGCAAACAGATGAATTACCAGTATGTACAATTGAAGCAGTAGAATATGAGTTATGATAATTCTGATACCATCTGAGGAAATCATCGTAGTTTGGCGTAATGTTCCGAGGAGTAGCCATGAGTATCAGATCTGGAACCGAGTAGGGAGGCAATTTTCTGGTAAAAAATTTGTTTTTTTCGTGAACAGTAGCGGCAGAGGTGAACCGTAGCGGCGAGGGTCGATAAAAAATTTATTTTTTGAACAGTAGCGACGACAGTGAACAGTGGCGGAGGTGGTCACAGGAAAAAAATTAAAAGGTTAGGAAAACTGGAATGATGACACTATTTGCAGAAGAAAATTTCTCACCGAAAGACAATGGGTCAACCGGGTAGCATACAGTGAAGATTTTTCACTCAATAGGATCTGGATACCATATTAAAATACGAGAGACTAAGAGACATTTGACTATAGAGAGAGAGAATTTCAAATCAATAATATTAATTACATACTAAATATATATTGATCATATCCTAGAATATATTAGGGAATATTCTATACTGATCATATCCTAGAATACACAAAAAAAATATTCAAAAAATATTTTAGAGAATATTCTTATTCTATATACAAAAATCAACAAATATAAAATAATTTTATAAACTTTAAAAAACTAATTTATATATTTTTCCTGCAATATTTTCATCTATTTCATCATTATTAATATATTTTTGAAAAATTATATTAGTTCTATCTATTTACTCAATATATATTATTTAAGTCAATATAATACAAGTTTTGCATTTTATTCTTAAAATCATTAAGTCATATCTTTAAATTTGGAGTAAAAAAAAAGAAAAAGAAATATAAAATAAAATTATTGAAAATATTCATTATGATGATTTGTTGCATAACGTCCAAGTCATTCAAATGTAGAATTTTCTCCATTCATAAAATAATAAAGATTTAATATTTTTTAAAATATTGGGAACAAAAGAAATGAAATATGAAACAATATTATTGAAATTTTTGACTATGATGATTTATTACATAACATCCGAGTAATTCGAATATAAAATTTCTCCCATCCATAAAATGATACAAATATCACATTTTCAAATATATTAGAAAAAAAATAAAATAAAATATAAAACAAATTTACTGAAATTCTTTCCACTTATTTCACTTTTTAAAATTTTAATACCGACATATTATTTATCATTTCTATATTTTAAATATATTTTTATTTAAAATTGTTCTCTATCTTTTATTCTCTTCATCTTATCGTCTCAATTAAAATAATTATTATACAAACAAAATTAAAATATATATATAATCCAATATTACTTAAAAATCCATTAATGTCTCCGACATCGGGCGGGTTTAAATCTAATAAATTATTAATGTGTTCTTTCTATAAAGAAGATAGACATTGATTTTTTTATGATTAAATCAAAATTAATTTAGATTTTTTATTGACTACATTTGAATACATTTATTCTTATTGACTTTATATTTATTATATACACTTCAAATTATATATATATATATATATATATATATATATATATATATATATATATATATATATATATATATATATATATATATATATATATATATATATATATATATATATATATATATATATATATATATATATATATATATATATATATAAAATATTAAAAAGTGTTTTTTATATTTATTATATACACTTCAAATTATTAATAACTTCAAGGTAAACCTTACCATATACATATATAAATAGACATATAGCATATAACATTTTATTTCAATAAAAAGATGGACAATACAAAGATCTATACTCTCGCAATGTTACTTTTACTTGCATTTTTCATCTGTGCGTTAGGTTCGAAACTAATATGTTAATTGAGTAAAATGTCTATGTTTCATATCTAATTATTAACTTCAATCGTTTTCAGTACAATTCAGATCTTTTACTTTTTACATACAACAAGAAATTTATTTCCACGTGCATTTTTTGTGTGTACGCAGATATATGTGCGAAATCAGAAGAAAAAAGTTTTGATGCAAAGACACCATGTAAGACGAATAAAGAATGTCAACCATATTGTGTAATTGGATCTGGAATATGTGACCTGGGAAGGTGTTGGTGCTTTCTTCCACCATCTTCTGCCGACAGTATTCCTACTATAATACCTCCAAATTGAAAATTAAGAAATTGAATATTGGGATAAAATTACCTAACCTAAATAAAAATTATATGTAAAATAAATATCAGTAAGAAATATATATATATATATATATATATATATATATATATATATATATATATATATATATATATATATATATATATATATATATATATATATATATATATATATAAAATAAAATTTTATCTTATAAAAGTCGTAAAAGCCCTTTTAATATATTTTTATCTTTACTAAGTTTTATTGGCACAATAATCAATTATATAAATAATCTATTACTCTCACTATCTCATAATAAGTATTTTATTTATATTTTATTTATATCTTAAAATAAATGTCTTTTTAAAATATCAATATAATATTTATTATTTTTTTCACTATAATATTTCTATTTATTAACTTTTTAAGCTTTTCAACAACTCTACTAACTATAATAAATAAGAATATTTTAATAAATAATATTAATTTTATCATTAAAGTCAACACATCTAATCATTTTTTTAAAAACTACACAGAATTTAAATGAGACACTTATTATGAGACGAAGAGAATATTATAATAATAATTATTATTATTATCATGAAAATATTTAATTATTGAGTTAGAATCATATGATTCCATGAATTAAATGGTAACTCTTGCTATACCAACTAAAACAAAACTAGGGTTGTTGAGGTAGAAAAATCTAAAATTACATTAGATTTTTAAAAACAAATAAAAACTGAGAATTAAAGTTGAAATAATTATGTCGACAAGATAGTAGATTTAGATACTAATAGGTCACATCTATCTAAATTATGTCACATAATATATAATTATACCATATGTGACACCTCTAAAAATCCATCTTCATATTTCAAAAAAATATTTATTTTCTATTAGAGATCATGAATTCAATCCCTACTAACTACAAAAATAGATTAATTTAACAATTTATAAATAATAACTTTAATATAAAATAATTTTCTACACTTAAAAAAATTAATTTATATATTTTTCCAACAATCTTTTCATCTATTTCACCATTATTAATATATTTTTGAATAATAATACTATTTCTCTATGTTTACTCAATACAGTTATATCATTTAAGTCGACATAATACAAGTTTTGTATTTTATTTCTCAAATCATTAAGTTATATCTTTAAATTTGGAATAAAAAAAGAAAAAGAAATATAAAACAAAATTATTAAAATTTTTGACGGTAATGATTTGATGCATAAAGTCTTAGTCGTTCAAATATATAATTTTTTCCATTCATAAAATAATGAAGATTTAAGATTTTTGAAAATATTCAAATAAAAGAAAGGAAATATGAAACAAAATTATTAAAAATTTTCACTATGATGATTTGTGTACCGTCCGAATCGTTCGAATGTAGAATTTCTCCCGTTAATAAAGTAATAAAGATTTAACATTTTAAAAAATATTTGAAAAATTAATTATAAAAGAAAATTATTGAATTTTCCCCACTTATATATATATATATATATATATATATATATATATATATATATATATATATATATATATATATATATATATATATATATATATATATATATATATATATATATATATATATATATATATATATATATATATATATATATATATATATATATATATATATATATATATATATATATATATATATATATAAGTCAATAAGAATAGATGTATTCGTAGTCAATGAAAAATCCAAATTAATTATGAATTAATCTTTAAAAAAAATCAATGTCCATCTTTAAAGAAAGAACATGTTGATAATTTATTAGATTGAGACCTGCACGAGACATTGATGAATTTTTTAAAAGTAATATTAGATTATATATTTTACTTTTGTTTAGTATAATTTATAATTAAGAAGATAAGATGAAGAGAATAAAAGAGAGAGAACAATTTTAAATTAAAAAATATATATTTAAAATATAAAAATGTTAAATAAGACGCTGCTATTAAAATATTAAAAGGTGATATAAGTGGAAAAAAATTCAATAATTTTGTTTTATAATTAATTTATTTTTTTCAATATTTTTTAAAATGTTAAATCTTTATTATTTATTAATGGGAGAAGTTCTACATTCGAACGATTCGAACTGGATGCCACAAATCATCATAGTCAAAATTTTCAATAATTTTTTTTCATATTTCCTTTCTTTTATTTCAATATTTTCAAAAATGTTAAATCTTCATTATTTTATAATCAAAATTTTCAATATATTATGCAACAAATCATTATAATCAAAATTTTTAAAATTTTTGTTTTATATTTCTTTTTCTCTTTTTACTCCAAATTTAAAGATATAACTTAATGATTTGAGGCATAAAATACAAAACTTGTATTATATCGACTTAAAAATATTATATTATATATTCATGTGGTGGAGGGAGAAAGAGTTAGTATAAGAAAGAGATAAGAAGAAAGGAAAAGTAAAAGAAAAGAAAGGAACAAAGAAGAGAGGAAAGGAGGAAGTAAGGAAGAAGGGGCAAAAACTATGGATCTTCATCACCACCAGTATCATCTCATCGTCTTCTCACCAAGCTTCATCGTCCTCTCTAATCTAGAGGTGCATTCTAGTTAGACCATTTTTAGATAAAGAAAACTAGGGTTTGGTTGTATTGTCATGAGCATATTGTTAGTTAGTATCTCTTGATTTTATGACATGTTGTTGTGTTTAAATCATGGTATGGTGTTGATTATGTTTAAATCATGGTATGATGTTGATTGTGTTGATTCTAGTAGAGAGAATTGAAATTTGTTAGGCTTGACGATTAATAAGTTTCCTCTAACTTGGGATAATTTGTTTAGAAATCAAAATATGCTTTCAGTGGGATTTAAACCCATGACTTCCCCCTCATGGAACAAGCTCCTTACAACTATGCCAAGGCTCCTGTTGTTGAATACTTATGCAATTGTATTCTACATGTCTTATGAGTTCTACCATAATTTTGTATGCATTGGATTAACATTGTTTGATTAAATTAAATAAATTAGAATGGCATATAACCTAGGAATAATATTAGGTCAAGTTCATGAATGATATTTCATGAGAATGGTATGAGTTAATTCACCGTTTCCATCATAAAACGAGAATCTTACCTCCGATTGTTGTGAGGTTGAAATCATCGTAAAAAGAATACAATACTTTATTAAGTGATGAGAAGGAATTCTTGAGTGTTCCATGATTATTTCTTTGGATGTTTAAAACTATAAGATGAATTGATTATGTATGTTATGAATTGTTGTTGTACTGAATTATTTGATGTATTCTATGACCTATAATATGAATTGTTGATTGTATAATAATATGACTAAAATCCTATAATGATAAGTGAGCAAACCTAGGAGTATAACTAATTAATGAACTAGAAAGATAACTTAGGTTATGAAATGGCTTAAGTGGTGAAACTTGGACGAATGGTACCTTGATGTGTATCACAGTCAAGTATTCGCTCGAATAATAAATAAGCATGCTTTTATGGAACATGTATGATTATATGTAATGAATGGATCATGTTATGATGCCATGAGAATATAATATGATATCATGAGAATTGGTAGTTGTGAACATCTAGTGATTGATGAGAGCAATCAAAAGTATATGAGAATTAATCACGTATTCGAATAGTTACCCTTGATTTGTGCACATACCTTTTGAGAGGCTTATGTAAATTAGAAAATAGGGATGTGGAACCAATGATCCGTGCCTCAATTGGGTTTGAGTCACAACCATGGCAGACATCGAGGAAAGGTGGACACCTAAGTGGATTTGAGTGTCATACGGTGAAAGAGACTTAAAGTTGGTTCAAGTCCCATACGAGTGACAAAGTGGGTTTGAGTCCCATAGGAAACCCAATATCCACCAAGAAAGTCAAATCATACGACCATGCGTGAACCAATTCTTGGTCTTCACGTAGGTCCGATCGGGGATTGATATTTCATGAATCCGAATAGTGATTTATTGAGAGTATGAACTCAAGTGACATGTTTCCATACATTGCGAATATCCCTCAGTTTCTCAAGTCTTAGTTACAAGGTGTGATTGATACACAAGTAACGAAAGATGGAGATTTTAGTTAGAAATTGATTAGAAACCTTGTAGAGCTGAGAGGACCCATAAGATATGGAGCCCACTGAGATTATTATATCAGCATGCTATTATTGTTGTTTTTCAAGTATTATTTTAGGTTAATGATTCAAGCAGGTACTTGATGATGTTTCAAAGGATTTTTATTATGTTAGGTCTATAACTTTATGATTGGCTACAGTTTTGGTAAAACAATGTATCACAGCCAGATGTTGAGCAAGATGTCATGACATCTTGACCAACTGATATAGCAGGCGATGCTGCTCTTCTTGGAATGATCTGATTTGATTTTGTGAGATTCTCTATGGATATATCTCACATATTTTCACATGCCATGCAAGATATTTTTGGGACAAGTGATTTTATCTCCAACTGTGCAATAGTTTCGAAAATGTGATGTTGAGACAATTTAGGAAACTTGTGATGTTTTTGTTCCATAATTTAAGGAGATTATTCTGCATAATTTGTGTAGCCATCATTTTGTGGATCTACAACAAATTGAATGGAGAATCTGAAGCCCATGGACAACTGAGGAGTTTAAAAGGAAAAATAACTTAAACCTAAAGTAACAAGTGAAAAATAAGGGTAAGCTTTGTTATTCAAGAATCTTTAGGATTTTGAGAGTTTTTTTATTGTGCCTTGGTTTTGTATGTCACCTACGTATCTTGTTTGATGAATTGAGGTTGATTGATTGTTCATTGTTCATTGTGATTCACTCATGAGATTTTAAGCAAAGAGTGTATTATGAAGATGTGAAAAACACAAGAAGGGGGGGGGTGAATTGAAAACTTGAAATCAAAAGCTTAATGACACAATATTTTTATCCTGGTTCGTTTGATCTCAAACTACTCCAGTCCACCCGTCAAGGTGATTTCGCCTCTCTCCAACGAGGTCTTAATTCACTA